ACAGTGCTATCCTGTGCTATTCTTACTATCTTTAACCCACTTGAGCCAATGGCTGCACCCATGGTGTCAATGCATCACACTGGCAGTCTTCCTCTCCTTCACTCACACTCTGTCTTTCCAAGCATATGTCCCTTTCCAAGAAATAGCCTCTGCTAGCTACATGTCCAAAGTGTGGAAGTTGAAGCTTTGCCATATTTGCCTTCAAGGAGAGAGAACTCGGGCTGCACCCTCTCCAAGACATATCTGTCTCCACAAATTATTAAGAAATATGGCAGTCTACATGATATTCAATACTCTTTTCAGCACCACAACTCAAAAACATCAAGTCTTCTGTCATCCTTATTCATTGACTGGCTCTCAGATGTGTAGCAGGTTATTGAAAAGACCATGGCCTGAATCAGGTACACCTTAGTCCTCAAACTGACATTGTATATTGGAGAGGTCCTTGGCAGTGGCCTTGCCCAGTGCTATGTATCTCCTTGTTTTCTGAGTGCTGATTATTGATCCAGGCAAGATGAGATAATTGACGGCTTCAGTCCTTTCTCCATCTATCATTATGTTGACTGTTGGTCCTGTGGTGAGGACGTAATTCATACTGAAGGCTATGTTCTTTATCTTCTGAAGCAAGTGTTTCATGTCTTCCATACTTTCAACAAGCAAGGTTGTGTCATATTCATAATGCAGATTGTTAATGTATCTTCTTCTGATCTTGATGCCACATTCTTCTTTGTAGAGTCCAGCTCACGAATTATTTTCTCAGCATACAGACTGAATAGATATAGAGAAATGATACATCCTGACTCATACTTTTCCTAATTTTATACCATGTACCATTCCCTTGCTCTGTTTGGATAACAGTTTCTTGATGTAGGTATAGGTAGAGATTTCTCTGTGACATAGTGGGGTTTAAATGAGGAGGGACCTTTGAGAATTATAGAAAGAAACTCTGCAAACTCTTACCTCCAAATTGCAAGTAGCAGATATAGTGAGGATAGGGGACACACTGGGGGTATAGAATACAGTTGGAGTAGGGGCTGTTCTGGGATGCTGGGCCTTTGATTACATACACAGAGATTACATTTATTGCACATTTTTACTCTATAATGAAATGAAGGGGTATAATACACACAGTTATAAGGTATGATCTCTGCTAATGCAGTGGTTAGAAGCACTCTGCTGTTGATCAAATGTCTATGGTTCAAACCTTCCAGTGGCTGTGTAGGAGAAAGATGTGGTGTTTTGCTTCTGTAAAGATGTATAAGCTGTCCTATTATTAATCCATTGGGGTCACTGTGAAACCAACTCAATTCAGCAGTAGTTGGTATTAGTTTCTGGTATTGGTGTTAATTTTAGATACCTTCACATAAAATGCTGAATTGTTGTTTTGTTGTAGTTGTTATATTCTGTTGAGTCACCTGCAACTCCTAGAGAGCCTATGTACAACAGCTCTGAAGACTTCTCTACCTGAGCCAATCTCACTGACTCCAAACACACCTACCCCCATTACCCCAGTTACTGTGTCAGTCTATCTCATCTGGGATCTTCCTCTCCTGTGTTGTCCCCCCACCCTTCAGAGCATGATGTTCCTCTCTAAGAACCAACTCCTCCTGGCAACATGCCCAAAGTCTGTGAGATAGAACTGCAAAATCCAAGTCTCCAAGGAGAAACTTGGTTCCGTTCTCTCCAAGACAGATCTTTTTCTTGGCGGTCCCTGGTATGTTCAAGATTCTTCTTTATCACCACAACTTGAAGGCATTGATTCTTCTTCTGTCATCCTTAGTCATTGTCCAGCTCTCTGATGCATAATAAGTAGTTGCCAAGACCATGGACTGTATCAGGTGCACTTTAGTCTCTAGACATTGTTGCTTCTCAGTATTATCAAGAGGTCTTTGACAACAGATTTTCCCAGAGCAATTAATCTTTTTAAAAAATTATTTAAAAATATTTTATTGGTTTTAATATAATAATTCCTTTACATTATATTTCATCCATATACATTGTGTTTTATATAATCTTTCATTTACACTATATTTAGTATAATCATTCAGTTCATCTTTTGGTTTTCTAACTGCTGGTACCAAGAGTGTCGATTGTGGAGCTGAGCAAGCTGAGATTATTAACAGCCTCAATCTCTTCTCTATCATGGTGCTGCCAATTGGCCCAATGGTGAGATTCTTTGTCTTCTTGATGTTGAGCTTCAATACATATTCAAGCCTGCAGTCCTTGACCTTCTGCAGCAAGTACTTCAGGTCCTCCTCAGTTTCAGCAAGCAAGGTTGTGTCATCTGTGTAACATAGGTTGTTGATGAGTCTTCCTCCAGTCCTGATGCCACATTCCTCCTGATAAAGCCCAGACTCCAGAATGATCTGTTCTGCATATAGATTGAAAACGTATGGAGACAGGATGCATCACTGACACACTCGTTTCCTGATTTTGAACTATGCAGTGTTTCCCTGCTCTGTTCTGAGGACTGCTTCCTGGTCCAAGTATAGGTTTTACATAAGCACAATCAAGTGTTCTGGGATTTCCATTTTCCTTAAGGTTAGCCACAATTTGTTGTGATCCGCACAGTCAGATGCCTTTGCTTAGTCAATGAAACACAGATAAACATTCCTTTGGTACTCTTTGCTTTCGATCAAGATCTATTTGACCTTGGCAATAATGCCTCTTCTAAAACCAGCTTGTATTTCTGGTAGCTCTCTGTTGATGGACTGTTACAGTCATTTCTGGATAATCCTCAGTAGGATTTTACTTGTGTTTAATATGAGTGATACAGTTCAATATAATTTCCACACTCTGTCAGGTAACCTTTTTTTGGAATGGGAATAAATATGGATCTCATCTAGTCAGTTGACCAGGTAGTTTTCCTCCAGATTTCTTGGCACAACCTAGTGAGAATGTGCAGGACAGTATCTGTTGAAATATGTCAGTTGGTATTCTATCAATTCCTGGGGCCTTATTTTTTTTGCCAAGTCCTACAGAGCAGTCTGCACTTCCTCCTTCATCACCATTGCCCCTTCCTTCCTTCCTTCCTTTTTTTTTTTTTACCATTGCCTCTTCATTATACGTTGTTTCATGAAATACTTCTTTGTCAACCAATTCCTTTTGGTACAGTGACTCTGTATACTCCTTCCATTTTCTTTTACTGCTTCCTGGGTCAATCATTCAGTATTCTGCCCATAGCATCCTTAATATTACAAGTCACAGCTTGGATTTGTTTTGTTACTTCAGCTTAAGAAATGCCAAACGAGTTTGGCGCTTTTTATTTTCTGGCTCCAGGTCCTTGCACATTTCATTGTAATGCTTTCTTTGTCTTCCCGAGCTGCCTTTGAAATCTTCTGTATAACTCCTAAATGTCTTGATTTCTTCCCTTTGCTTTGGCTTCTCAGTGCTATAGTGCAATATTCAGAGTCTCTTCTGACATCCTTCTTTGTCTGTAATTACCTTCTGCATTCTTCATGGATAATATTCTTGATATCTTCCCACAGCTCAACTGGTCTTCACTCATTAGTGTTCAAGACCTCAACCCTGTTTCTGAGTTGGTTTTTAAATTCAGGTAGAATAGAATCAAAGTCAAATTTTGATTCCTGTGTATTTTATTTGACCCTCCTTAGCTTTAATTTGAACTTGGCATATGAGTTGTTGGTGATCTTTTCTACAGTCAGTACCTGGCTTAGTTTTCACTGCTGATAGTGAACTTCTCCAACAGTTCCTTCCACGGACGTAATTGCTCTGATTCCTGTGCATACCATCAGGGGAAATCCATATGGATAGCCTGCGTTTATGTTTCTTATAAAAAAGGGTTTTGCAATGAATAAATCCTTGATTGTGCAGAATTGTATCATTCTATCCCCAGCTCCGTTTCTGTCACCAAGTCCATGTTTTCTGACTACTGATCCTTCTTCCAGGTTCCCAATTTTTACATTCTAGTTACTCATTATTATTAGTGTATCTTGGTTGCCTAATCAAACGATTTCTGACTACAAAAGTTGGTAGCAGTCATCTGTATCCTGCTCTTTGGGCCTGTTTGTTAGTGCATAAATTCGAATGATAGTGGTATTAACAGGTCTTCCTTGTATGCATATGAATATTATCATGTCACTCATGACATTGTATTTCAAGATGGATCTAGAAATGGCCTTTTTAACTATGAAAGCCACCCCATTTTTTTTTCTTACCTCTCATCACTGGCATAGTAGATCATCTGATTTAAAAATACTGGGTTAAAGGGAGCTCTGGTGGCCTAGGGGCAAGAAGCTGCACTGTAATCCCAGAGGTGCATGGTTCGAATCCACCAGATGCTCTGCTGGAGAAGGAGGGACAATCTCCTCCTGTACCAGTCAGATCTGACTTGATGGTGTACACACACACACACACACACACACAAATTTAAAAAATGCCAGATTAGAAAAATAAAACCACTCAAAATTGTTTGTTGAAGGTTATTTAACATGACCCCTTTGGGACTTAGCATGGACTCAAGTTGTCGCATCAACTCCCAGCATCTGTCGCCTCTGCTCCTGCTCGCTGTTACTGTGCCCATCCACTGCTTCACCACAGCGCAACTGTCGTCAAAGGTTATTACATAAATTAGAAATAGGGTTTTTTTTCCTTAAGGGGACCCTCCCTTGGAGTGTCAATTCCTATACAGCCTTGCTTGTTTCTTAGACTTACACACTTTTTAGACTCGTGTCTTAGGAAATTTGTAATAGAGAATTGGGTTGCCACTGACGGATATTCAGGGCTTTGTGTCATACCAGTTATCCTGTTGGGATAACTGGTTTCCTTTGATTGTTAAGTTCTGTGTTTCGAAGAGGCCTTTTTTTTTTACCCCCTTCCCTTAAAAAACTGTTTTGCAGAAGACCCCAAAATGATGCTTAGGCTTCACAGACTGCAGTGAAGCAGGGTTTCTACTTCCAGGTCAAACCTCGCCCCCACCCGCCGCCCTTAGATATATTTGCTGAATGATGACAGAGCTTCTCCTACTTTGTGTCTTCTAGGTGACCATTTGAAGATCTGCCCCCAGGGTTATACCTGCTGCTCTCAAGAGATGGAGGAGAAGTACAGCGAGCAGAGCAAAGAGGATTTCAAGAGTGTAGTCAGCGAGCAATGCAATCATTTGCAAGCCATCTTTGCTTCCCGTTACAAAAAGTTTGATGGTGGGTATTGCAACTTTGGTACAACTGAGTGTCAATGGGGGTTGATTCCTACCTTTTGTTTTCATACCTTTATTAATGTCACACTGAAGAGCTGACCAGATCTCCCTCAGGTAACTTTCCCAAAGTTCCTCTCTCTACTCAGTGCTTTCAAGATGTTCTCCTTGCTGATCTCAGGGCCAGTTTGCGCTGCAGCGTTCCTTGCTAGAATCTGTATGGTAGGCATTATGGAAATATGGTCAAAAGGAGCCAAAAAATAGATTAAAGTCATTTAAATTAAATGCTTTTATTTATTTATTTTTAAATTTTTTTTTTTGGGTGAACACGGAATAGTGTTGTTGACGCAAGTTACTTAAAAAAACCAAAAAACCTTCCTAATAAAAAGCAGACATTTGAAAACAGTCTTAGTCAAAATAACCGGAGAGGTTCTGCAGATGCTGGGCTTCAAATTTAACTTCAAAATGGATCTCCCAAAGACGAGGAGACTTCCTGGAAGCTGTGCAGGACAAAACTGGGATTAGAGTTCAGCTTCTTAAGTTTTCATGCACCAGTGGCGTGGAGGTAACCCTGGGAACCCCTAGAGTAGCCTCCAGTGAGCTGGGCGCCATTCTCAGTCTCCTTTCAGTTTCACATGTAAAGTCCTCACAGAACTCGGTCACATCGCCCGTGTCAGACATGGCTTCCCTCATGTGTACTTCCTTTGTATGGCGAGCCAAGTGAGAAGCACTTTCCCCCACTCATTTTTGAGATGGCTTTAGAGACAACAACAGACTTTTGGCAAAATAGAGTTACAGGGTCCCAAACACCACAGGATTCTCTTCTCTAGGGATGTTCACTCCCGTTTGAAGATTGTTATGAAGTAGATTTAATTTTAATAGGAATGATTTCCTTTGTGCCCGTTTTAAAAGGCCATTCTAATTACATAGTACCTTTGAAGCATGCTTTTCTTGACATTATGTGTGGTGAAGAAGTACAAGGCAAATTTTCAAGATGTTAAATGTCTTTGAGTATTTCTGCAAAGGGCTCGTTACCATGGTGAGAAGTTAGACGAAATTAGATTTGATAGAGCTGATAAGACAGTCCCTAGCTAAAGAACAGGTTGTATTTCTAAAGTTGGTTTTGAGCTTCCGTTATTGGAAACTGGTAACTAATTGAATAAGGGTAAATTAGGTTCCTAGGCTAGACCACAAACAGCATATTTAATCTATAATGTTGTTGAGCTGAAATATTGTCCCTGTAGTGAGTAGCATTTACCCTTGTCCATTTTTTTTCCACACACACTTTTGTCTGCAAATATGTTGAGTCCTCTTTTTCCAGGATGACAGCCATCTATTTATCTATACATTTGAACAATTTGGGGTCTAGGGACATTCATCCCCTCTCCCAGCTGAAAATCCACTCAATCACTTTCTTGTGAAAAACACAATTTACTGGAGAAGCGAACTACTTACATGGAATGATTAGCATCCCACCATAGTTCAAAGCAGATACTGGAAACACTTGAGCTCACAGCCAATAGCAACATGGGAAGAAATATCTCCTAAGGAAATGGATTGACGCAGTGACTTGAACATCGGGCTCAAGCATGTCCGAAATTGTGAGGCGGGCGCATGATAGGATAATGTTCATATCTGTTGTTCACAGGGGTCTCTATGAATTACAGTTAACTTGGGTATATAACAACAACAACCTCCCCCCACATGTTGTAACTCTTAGTTTCGTTTACTTAGGTATATGTTTTGTTTTGTTTTTCCCTCCTTCTTACCTTTTTATTTTCTTTTTAAATAAAACAAAAACAGAAACTCAGGGTGAGCTAAACATATTTTAAAATAATCCTACCCAAGAACAATGTAGAAGAAACAAGCGTGTAAATCACTTGTTCCAAGAATAGTTTTATACAGATGTTTCATAATACATGTTAGACGTTATTTTCCAAGACACTCTTATCAATATGCATTACTCAACTACAGCGAAAAAATGACCAGTTACCATTATCACTTAGGTATATGTTAATGCCACTTTAAAATGGGTTTTATTTGCTGCATGCCTCATTAGACCATCTCTGATTTTTTTTTGGTCACTTAATTTATTATTATTACTAAAAAGAAAGGTTTTTCTTGACAGCAGTCTTTCTCATTCAAGAGAGTAGTTTAAGCATTCCCCCCCGCCTTTGGGTAGAAAATGTAGAAAGGTAGTCAAATGGTCAAGATTGCAAAACTGAGATTCAAAATGATAGTTAACCTTTAGCACTTAGGGGTTTTCCTAATTGGATTTAAAAGGGGGAAACAAAAATCCTGCTTTTCAGAAATGGCTCTTCTTCTGGAAGCACAATGCAGCAGAGATGAACTAGTTCCAGGCTATAAGGCCCCCTCCTCCAAGCTGCCCCGTTGCTACAGCCCTCCCTACCACGGAGCCACTGGGCCTGCTGGGTTAGCTATTCTTTCCCCTTCTCGCTCCCCCTGGTTTTATAGAAGTCCTCATATGATTCCAGTATGCGATTTTTAAAAAGCCATACAGAGAAACTATATCAGTAAGTGTTAACATATGTTTTGGGTTGGTTTTTTTAAAACAAAGACAGAAAAAGCAGTTTCTTTTGCCCTTCTCTACCAGGCTTCATATTCAATAAACGTGTTCCCATAGTGCCTTTATCAGCTTCTAAAGTTGTCTGGGGGGCGGGCTGGGGATGATTACAAAACTCCAGTTTGTCATTCCCCTGACTTGAAATGAAAACGTGGCATGACTATAATACAATTAGTAAGCATAGATTAAAACTTTCTGAAGGGGTTGTGGCAATAATGCATTGAGTCTGGTAAGGGACACAGAGCTGGGGCACACAGCACACTTTGCTCCAAGTTACATGTTCTGAGCCGACGAGTTAATGCTTCATTGTAAAGCCTGAGTTTATTGGTTCCCAACAAACCACAGTTATCAGATGTGTGCTGTCTTTATTGATTGAGGATCATCATTGAGACGTGCTGTTGCTCCTTAGAAGACATGAGTGTCTAAGGATGCTAAATGATGTGCTATAGGGAGTTTTCTATCCTTTGTTTTACACTTTATTGTATTTGTGGTAAGCAATAAAGCAGATTCCCATTCAACCACTTCTACATAAAATGTTCAACAATGCTGATAACACATTATGTCAACACTCTGATGATGATTTCCATTTTAGTTGTTCCATTGTCATTATTTTTGTCTCACTGCCCCATGCTTGGGAGGGTGGAGGGACAGCTCAAGAAGAGGGAGAGCCTCGATGAGATGGGTTGACTCAGTGACTGGGGTAATCAGGGTAGGTGTGTCAGAGACAATACGGTTGGCTCGGGATAGAGTAGGATTCAGAGCTGTTGTACATAGGGTCGCTATGAGTCGCAGCTGACTTGATGGCACATAACAACAACACTGCCCCAATATATAGGATATTTCTAGGAAACACTGCATGCCTTAAAATCAGGAAAGGGTGTGTGTGTGTGTGTGTGTGTGTGTGTGTGTTATATCCTTGCCCTATACCTATTCTGTCTGTACACTGAGCAAAGCATTCGAGAAGCTGAACTATATGAAGGAGAATGCAGTATCTGAAATAGGGGAAGACTCATCAACAATCTGTGTTAGGCAAGTGACACAACTTTGCTTGTTGGAAGTGAAGATGACTTGAAGTACTTGCTACAGAAGATCAAAGCTTACAGCCTTCAGTATGGATTACATCTCAACATCAAGAAAACAAAAAATCCTGACCACTGGATCAAAAGGCAGCATCATGTTAGATGGAGAAAAGATTGGATTTGTGATTTCATCTTGCTTGGATCCATAACCAATAGCCATGGTAGCAGCAGTCAAAAAAATCAAAACACCTGTTGCACTGGGATAATCTGCTATCAAGGACCTCTCTGAAGTGCCAGAGAGCAAGGATGTAAATTTAAAGACCAAAGTGTACCCAAGCCAAACCGTAGCTAAGTACTTCTGTGCATGTGAAAGTTGGACAATGACTAAGGATGACAGAACTAGAATCGATGCCTTTGACTTGCGGTGTTGGAGAGGAGTGCTGAATATTCCATAGACTGCTAAAAGAACAAGCAGTCTGTCTCGGGATAAGTGCAATTGTGGCGCTGCTTAGAGGCAAGGATGGTGAAATTTTATCTCATATATTTTTGACATATTGTCAGGAGGGGCCAGTCCTTGGAAAGAACATCATGCAGGGAAAAGTTCAGGGTCAGAGACAAAGAGGGCGAACCCCCAACAAGATGGATTGACACAGTGACTGCACCAATGAGCTCAAGTGTATCAGAGACGAGGAGGATGGCACAGGATCTCTCTCTGTGAGGCGTAGGCAGTGCGGTGGCATCTAACAACAACAGTCTCAGAAACATGTCAGTGCTTTGGTCAAAGGATTGCTTAGGCTGTTAGAAAAGCCAGCTCACTGATGTGAGTGGAAGAGAGGAAGATGAGCACAGTGGAAGCTGGGAACCAAGATGAGGCCACAAGGTTGTAGAAAGCTGGCTGGGGACAGATAGTAAGGGGCATGGCAAAAGGACATGCAAAAGCATAAGGGTCACAACTTCAAAAGAGCATCTTTGGCACCTCATTGTGGGATTGTAAAAAGGGGCAGCCATTCTGGAAGGCAGTTTGGCACTTTCTCAAAAAGCTGACCATGGAAATTCCATATGACCCAGCTATTCAACTACTTGGAATATACCCTGAGAATATGAGAACTGAGGCACAGAGATTTGTACACCAATGTTCATAGCAGTGTTATCCACCATCTCAAGAACATGGAAACTGTCCAAATGTCCAACCACAAAAGAGTGGATTGAGAAACGAAGGTACACAATGGAATACTATGCAGCATGTAGGAGCAATTACTTTGTAAATTATTACCTAACTTGTGAGGGACCAGAGAGCATTATGCCGAGTGAACTAACTCAGTCCCACAAGGATGAACATTGTCTAAAACCGTTATTGTAGAATGAATATAAGGATCCAGGAAGGTGGGAGAGGCTGGAAGTAGA